TACTCCTTTATCAATTTTTTTTTCAAACATATTATATTCATATTAATATTCGAGAACTGACCATACATGTTTCTCTCGTTCAATATTTGGTACAAGCCAAATAAGTTGACTACAATCTAAAAACGCATGAAAAAACGCATGAGGAAGGAACAAACCAAATAGGTTGACTACAATCTAAAAACGCATGAAAACGCATGAAGAAAGAGTATCGTTTATTCTGTGTCTAAGTTCATACTAAATTCCTATTAATACTCAGAACTGACCATACATGTTTCTCGCGTTCAATATTTGGTACAAGCCAAATAAGTTTACTACAATCTAAAAACGCATGGAAAAAACGCATGAGGAAGGAACAAGCCAAATAGATTGACTACAATCTAAAAACGCATGAAAAAGAAGTATCGCTTATTCCATGTCTAAGTTTAATTCTCAGTTTCTCATTATCAAAAGAATTTAAGAGGAGTTATTATTATTCTCCAATTATAGAATGTGAATTCTTTGGGATATGCGCTAACACAAAGAAACCCAAATTAAAATCTAATTTACTCATTAATAAAAGGTTAGTGGAGAATAAATCTCTCGAAGAAAGAAAGGAAAGGAAGTGCAACGGACCATGTTTGACACGTGAGAGTCAAAAAGGTAATTAAAGAAAAAGTCATCAACACACACACTCTCTCTCCGTCTATATAAAGCAGCTCTTCTTCACAGTCCCCACAAAGTCCTCTTCCGTTGCCTTTTCGCTTTCTCCGTACACTTGGTCTTCCTTCTCGCGATCAAACCCTAGGTCCCGCCATTGTTTGTCCCAGGCTTAAATCGAAGCTCCAATTTCACTAATTTCAGGTGAATCTTCTTCTACAATTTCGTTTTCGTTTTGTTTATTGTCACGATTGCGTCTAGAAACAAAGTGTTCTACAGTGTTTCGGAGTGTGTAGAAGCGAAATGTGAAGTAGATTTTGTTGTCTCTTAGTTCGTTTTGCTTGTATGTGTGTAGTTGATGAGGTTTCGTCTACCGAAATGATCGGGATTTTGGAAATTACTGTCTGTGATTTGGAGATTTTTCTGCTTTTACATGTCAAGGATTTTTTCTTTGGGGTTTTCTGTGATTAGTTTGATTCTGACAGTTTTGTGTTTATGAATCACAGGTGTTGCTTTTTTTCCTCTGGAGCTTGGTGATAGATACTATGGATCCTGTTGCTGAACCTAGCCCTGTTGTTGACCCACTTACTGTATGTTTCGATTATGGGGTTTCTTCTCCTTTTCACTAGTTGTAATTGTGATTCTTTGTGTGGTTTGTTCTGTTTTTGGTGTGGTTAAAGTGTAATTTTGGGTTTGGTAAATTATAGGTTGGGAATGCGTTTGTCAGTCAGTACTACCACGTTTTGTATAACATGCCTGAGCATCTGCCCCGGTTCTATCACGAGATCAGTAAAGTTGGGCGTGTTGGACAGGACGGAGTCATGCAAAATTTCTCTACCTTGGAGGTAAGTATTGTCAGTGGTTTAGCTGACTTTGGTTGAATGAGAGTATTCCTTTTCTTTGATGTGAAGGATTATTAGTCTATTTACTTACTTGAGTAAATAACATGGGGTTGGGCTGGAGTGTCAATTGGTTTGATTGAAATTGGATGTCAGTTTTAAGTAACTTGCTAAAAGTGTGTCTCATTGATGTTTATTCTTTGTGCAGGGTATAACTGAGGAGCTTAAGACACTGACTTATGGAAATTCGGCTGAGATAACCAGTTATGATACCCAAGCATCTCACGATGGGGGTTTCCTCGTCGCTGTTACTGGATACTTCACTCTAAATGAGAGGTCGAGGAGGAAATTCACCCAAACTTTTTTCCTTGCTCCGCAAGAAATTGGGTTTTTTGTTCTGAATGACATCCTCAGATTTGCCAATGATGATGCTAAGGATACTGTTCCAGAGACCATAGAAGGGGAAGTTGTTTCTGGGATAAACTCTACAAGACCCAGTGATATTAATGGTAAGTTAAACGTATACTCATTCTCCATCACTTTGTTTTTTAGTTTCTTCTAACGCACAGTATATTCCTATATCCTTAGTTACAGGCAATAAGGGCTCGGAGCAAGCTGCATGTGTTTCGGTGAATTCTGTTTCTAAGGAAGTGTCTAAACCCTTGAATGATGAGAATGCTAAGGATAATGTTCTGGTACCTGAGATTGTCAATGAAGTTGCAGAGATTGATATAACTCGCAAAGAAGTTGCAGATGATTCACCGAAAAACTATGACCCTGATGATGGACTTGAAGATGTTCCCAAGAAATCCTATGCCTTTGTGGTAATTAGTCACCGAAGAGGATTCATACTCGATCTTGTTACATCTCATTTTAGGCTTTACTATATCACTTCTGGGGTTTTCTATTGATAATTATTTACTTTCATAACAGTTGAAGGTTACGAAAGATAAATCTGGAGTTCCAGCTGGCTCTGTACCTTCTCCAAAGAAGATACCTAAAGACCAAGAACATCAAGCGCCTTCAGATCCTTCTACAGGCCAGATACTCAAAGACCAAGGTCAACAAGCATCTTCAGATCCTTCTCAAGTGATAGAATCTGATACAGTTTCTGAGTCTGTTGATGCTGCTGAAAATGGGCACAATCAGGAAGGTAGTAGTTCACAGTATAGCTGATCCTCAGGTTTTCAATTATAATACTTGGTGGTCTATATTCTCTTATCTATTCATGACATGGTTATATCCTTCTTTTGTCTTTTTTATTAGCGGTAGCTGAGGGTACATCTATTTATGTGAAACATCTTCCTTTTAATGCCAACATCGACATGCTTGGGGCCGAATTTAAGCAATTTGGAGCTATTACCAATGGTGGGATTCAAGTCATAAACCAAAGGGTAAGATTGACCAATCAACTAACATTAAGTATTGGAAGCTTGAATCCCTTATTCGGGGATAAAGAAACACTGATCTTACATAATTTATTGTTCTGAAGAATGATAGTTTACTGTATGACTGGCAGGGCCTTGGTTATCCTTATGGTTTTGTTGAGTTTGAGGAGGCAGATGCTGCCCACAGAGCAATAGAGGTACATATTCTAACGTGGAATATAATTTTCACTTTCTTGTTTAGCATTATAGAAAACCAGTACCAACTTTATTAGCCTATTAGGTGTCTTGGGCTGTTGGGCATATGAGTCTTAACGTTTAAATCGGGTATAAATATGAAATCATTAATGATGCAGGCTTCACCTCTGATGATTGGTGGACAGAGAGCTTTTGTGGAGGAGAAGCTATCGACATCAAGAGGTGAGTTGATCTAAGTAACAAAGCTTTGATATGGTAATGTGAAGAAGAGGAGGGTGATTGTTTGTTTGCTTGAGTAACAGGGAACAGAGGAAATGGAAATGGTGGATACGGGAATAGAAATGTTGGAGTGGGAATGAGAGGAAGAGGAGGTTATGGATATGGCTACGATTACAGGAGGGGAGGTAGAGGTCCTGGAGGAGGAGGAAGGTCTTTTAACCGTAGAGGCAATGAATATGTCGCCAGCATCAACTCGTACTAGAGCGGGGATTGGGTTCTTTTGTGGCGGATAATTGATTTTTGGAATGGTGGAAAGAAGATGGTAGCAAGACAGACAGACTTGGTAGATATCTCTCTCTTGGGTATTCATATATTAGTGAAAGGTAAAAGAAAAAAAAAATGATTTGTGGTGATATTAAGGCTTATGATTTGTAAGATAAGACGTTTCTTATTCGATATTATGTGGAGGTTATTAAATTTATGCAAATGCTTTTGTTTTTTTGCTTTTTGTTTTTTATTTTGCTGATTATGAACCGTGTGCCGTGTGGTATTAAAGCGTTTTGGAACATGATATATTTCTACGGACGGATCCTTCTTTGACCGGGACAAAAACACTTTATATATTCTTTTATACGCTCTTGTCATACTTTTTTAATCGAGACTTCTCTGTTTGGTCAACTACACGTTTCTTTTTAAGCTCATGAGAAAAAAAAAACTTTAGCACCTCTTATTCTTTTAAGCTTGGAGGAAGAAAAATAAGAGAATTGGTGAAATGGCAAGATTCGCTGAACCTAAATGATTGAGTGACTCTAGTCAAACACATAGTATGATACCTTTAAGACTCCTTAGGGTTGGTAAAGTTGAGTTTCAGGATGAACCATGGAAAGTGAGAGAAAGTGCATTGACTAGTTGACATGAGCTGGAAAAACTGAGCTATTTCGACTAAACTATATAGATAAATAGCTCAGCTGAGTTTGAAAGACTATCTGTTAGCTCAACTAGCTAAATAAGTTTACTGACACTTACTCGAGTTAAGTTGACTGACGTAGTCTTTGGCTCGATGGTGGTTTAGGCTTCTTGGGAAAGTTACGTAACCACTAAACTGTTACTCATACCATTGGATCAGATGGAACAGATATATGATTCGACGAATGCGGACATATAATTATGGGAGTGGTTTGTTTAGATGGCAGATTTCGATGAAAACGGTTCCTATATGAAAGGTCTCTTAGACGAATTTTGGCGATTCATGTGAACCAAAGAAAACATGATCTGAGGAAGACGCCTCTGGAAATTTAAATAGAACGTGTCTTGGTTTAAATAGACGGCTGGAGTTTTGAAGGGTGTCACAGATAGGGAGGGGTTTGGAGATCGGTTTGAATCACCAAGACTCAACCAAATCCTCAGTGATCACTCTTAGACCCACACGGGCTGGTCAAATCTGGTGGCTGTTTACGACATTTTTAGACTGGTAATTTTGAGTCATTACCAAATCATAGTCGTTAAGGCCAACAATCTCAGAGGCACATAAGAACAACAAGGTGCAATTCTATCTTCCTGATATTTGACATTTCAACTTGCCAGTTAGTATAAGAAGACGAACTAAGCTAATGTTCAACAGGACACTGCAATACCAATCAAACCCCATGACTAGAAGATACTCATAGATTCAAGACTCAAGAGGTTGGTCAAATCTCTAGAACAAATCTTAATCACACAACAGTTAATAAAACTGTGGACCAACATTTCAAAAGGATCAAAAACTATAATCTATACACCATTCAATATCCCTCACAAAGAAGGAAACTAAACAACCACGAGATCACCAGCTTGGCCTATAAAATCCAGTTCTCACTTCTCAGTATCACCACCCAAGCAAGAGGAAAATATCAAACTAGACTACCATATATAAATCACAATGGAGAAGAATAACACTAAAGCCAAGCTCCTTCTGGCACTAATTCTGATGGCACTTCTACTTTCAGGCGCTGAAGGAGGGAGGTATGTACCTGAGGAGCAAAGTGAGGTCATTGCCAATAACCAGAAACTCTGGGGTTGGTTTCATCTTCCACACTATGGCTGGCCCTTTCATAAAGGAAGGTTTGGTCATTTTCATCTCAAAGCTGGCCTCAACAAACAGAACCCCGTACACGGATCTCACACTACAGGTGATAACAATGTTGCTGCATCCACTGTGTTTCCATGACTAGGTGACGATGCATACTAGCACAAGGTGACCTTAAGGTGTGAGTAATAAGGCAGAGCAATAGAGCACCGATTGATAGCTTCTGTAATCTATCTTTTGCACTCTAATCCCAGTGCATGGAGAGTTCTAATAAATTTCTCTTAAAATTCCTACTACTTGCTTATGCTGACATACACAAATACTTAACGTATTTATCAGTAATGTGAGATGAGAACTGGCATACACGACATGATCAAGATGTAGAATTTTAGTATAGATCCAATATATATTTTTTTCCATATATCTTTTCATCTATCAAGAGAGAAGAGTATCAACTGAGAGGTTTGCAGAGACCTAAATTACATAGAACAACAACTAAAAAACCAAGAGTTATTACCAATGATATTCATCAAATGATAGGGCCTTCTGGCTTCTTGATGAGTGAATATTTCTCTTCCACCAAAGCAAAATATTCAAAATTATGAAGTCAATGAAGTCCCTTCAATGTTCCAAAGTGAATAGGAGGATAGTATGACAAACCATTAGACCTGTGAGAGTAAAAACCATATTCCCGTTTACTTAATTAAGAATATAATTCAAATCTAGTAATCTCTACAAGCGTAGATGATAAACTAATCATTGTTTGACCTACAGGGTGGCTGGTGATGTTGCCGGACCACTCATCTAGTGGCTGGAAGGAATACTCGGATCAGCTCTTTCGCAGTAACCTTTTTCCTACAAGTCGGGCATTTGCCCTGGCGAGATATTGCCATCTTTATACATCCCTTGCAGAAGATGTGACCGCACTTAGTTGACATCTCCTCTGTAAAGGGACACATGCAGATTGGACATGTAAACTTTGGCTCTTCTGGTGGAGGAGCTGGAGCCTTTGATCTAGACATTCTCTGCACAAGATAAAAGAAATTCGTGAGTTCAGACTAAGTAGCATAACTGCATAGTATGCTTTCAGAAATCCGCATCTCTCTTACCGAAGACATGTTGACTTCATCATTTACATATGCATGCTCACAGTCGATGACAGGTTCACTAGAAGGAACCCTTCTGCGTTTGTTGCTTATGTTGGCAGGCAATCTAGTCGTACCTCCTGCAATTACCCGGCCACGTAAGAGAAAATTTGTAAGCAATGAACAAAAACAAATACAAAGTGAAATCCAACAATCAAACTCTCTGTCTCTCCCTACTACTTGAGACATGACACTGAACCAGAAGAGTAAAATTGATTTTCATATCCCTTCACAATAGATAAAAACTGACCTGACTCTACATCAACCATCAAAGGTCTCCGACGTGCATTTCTCGATTTGCTTTTAGCCTGGTATCAAAACAAAACAAAATTAGTGAACCTACTACACAAACAAATCCCCTCCATCACTGCAAAAAAAAAACAAAAAGATAACAGGAAGCAAACATACTTCAGCAAAAGCACTAGCGGATGATTCAATAACATCATCTTCAATAGCATCGACATCAATCATTGTAGGAGCAGGCTGAGACGGTGTAGTAGGCACCGTAGGAGATCTTACAGAAGCAGAGGTCCCTTCTTGATCTCCAGGTACAGCATTCAGATCAATCACAGCTTTCCTCCGTCGATTTCCTCGAGGAACTCTCACCTCTTGTGAGTTCATCTTTCAGCTCAAAGTAACCTAACCTTTGTACCTGTAAGTTTCATCCAATAAAACACAATCTAATTTACTCCTCAAAGTCTTGTATGCAAATTCAAATCATTGCAAGCAAAATAATAAAATTTACGTTTTCACAGAAAAAAAAAAATTCAAACTTTCCACAGATTTTCATGTAATTAAAATTTCAAAAGAACTCAATTTCAGCAAAAAGGGAAAAGAATCAATCTCCCAGAAATTCATCGAATTTACGAAACAACTAATCCGATCCTAAATTCGAGAATGATCGTTCGTAATCAAACAAACAAGAGAATTGAATTAGATTAGGTTTTTGAAAGTGAAGAACCTCTTCGATCAATTCGATTCGACGTTCGAGGTAATCACCGTGAGCTGAATTTCAATCGGAGAAATCGCCGGAGAGAATTTTGAAAGCCAATCGATTTTGAGAAATCTAGGGTTTTTGAATCTTTTGTTGTAAGAGAGAGAGAAAAACGCGAAGGTGGTAATAAACGGTGAGAGATTTTTGAGTTCGTAATAAAAAGCCACGCGGTCGGTGACACGTGTCGAAATCGCAGTTCCACAATACGAAACGGTTTTTGTGTAGTTTCGTCGTGGTTTACAGTGTTGTTTCCTAGAAAAAGCAAACCGTTTGAGATGTTTAAAAAGCCCATTGGGTTTACGTTAGCAATGACGATAACAATTTATACAACTTTGTTCAGCCCATTTGATTGGATTTTAAATACACGTACAGATAAATAAATAAATAAAAACTAATAAATATTGTTAACTTAAAAGATTCTACAACTTTTAAACTTTTTGTAAATCTATCCACCACAGTAACAATTATGCAAGAGAATTTTTTCAAGTATTATGCAGAGTGTAATAGAGTTATGAGACAATGTTATTGTGGTGAAAAATTTAGAACCAAAGTTTTTTTATATTAAATATATTGATCACCACATTAAAATATGTAAAAGAAACTTTCAAAGAACTCTGCATATTGCAATGTAGTCTTTGTGTTCAACCATGAAAGATTTTCGGAGGTAGAAAATTTTGTTACATGGATCAATTTTTTAATATAAATTATATAAAATTTATTATTAATTTTACTCATAAATAATTTACATTTAAGAGAAAAATATCTGAAAATCAACCTAATTAATATTTACAATTTTTTGTTATGGTCCACAAAGATTAACAAATGCAAAAAAATTGTGGGATTTTCTTATAAATAATTATAATATTAGATCATTAGTTGAACATTTTTTTAAATAAGTCAAAATTTTTTATTTTATTACATTAAAATTTGGTTTAAAAATTCTAATGAAACCAACTTATTTGGCTTCTTTTTTGTTTTAATGACAATTTTTTATCTCATATAGTTGAATTACTTTTATATGGGGTCAAAAACTATAATGCATTAGGGTCACTATAATAACCTTAATAAAATGTAGTAGAATTTTGAATTCATAGGGGTCAACTGACCCCCCTAATATCACACTGCCTCCGCCCATTCTTATAGAAATATATAAACGGGTAAGCGAGGAGCTGAACAAACTTTTCTTTTCTTATAGATTCAAGAAGCAATGGAGTTATGAGACAATGTTACTGTGGTTAAAATTTTCATAACGAAAATAAAACTTTTTTCTCTTTTTCATAAAACTTTTTATTTTTTGCCGTTAAGTTATACGCTAACAAACTTAGCCGTCAATTATCTTTCTCATAATCAAATATCGGGTCTTCAGATTTATAGCTAGACCACATTATGACTCTAAATTTTGGTTGCTAGAATCTAGGTGACATGATATATCCATCGTGCTAATGATTCTGACATACATGTATGCGCTCGAACTACAGCTTCGAATGGAGCCGCGTATCGGATGGAGCGGATCAAGCGGATATAGCGTATCAAGCAGAATAAAAGCGGATCAAGCAGATCTGGCGGTACAAGTGTGGATAAAGCGGCTGAACGCTTTGAAATATGTGTTGAATGGTGAAAACAGATCAAACGGGGCGGGTAAAGTATTTCTATTGCGTAAAAGACGTTAATTTAAATATAACATTTTACATAAACGATACATACTAAAAATAATTATATTAAAATAAATTTATAACATTGTTTAACATATTCTTGATTATAATCTATAAATGCAATAAAATATTTATTATTATACATATGTAAAACATTAAACAAAAAATAGTTTAAAAAAAATATATATCAAGTATTTGATTTATGTTTTTATGTTTCTGTAAATTTTGGTTAAGTTTAAATGATCCAAAAAAAAAAAGTATTTGCATTTAAGAAATCTGATCACAAAAGAAACGCAGTTGAAACACTCATTATTTGCCGTGTTATTAATGTAGTTAGCAGATCATGGATTTTGTTCATATTATTGAACCGCAAGTGGTTCGTTCAATATTTAATTACTTTTACAATTGAGCTGCTTTCTAATAAAATAAAATGGCGAATGGGTAAGATAAAAGCGTTTCTCTCTGACCCACGTTTCGACGTCCAATTAACCGTTCTCCATTCATAGCCTACGCTTAGCGAAGGTGAAAGTAGCGTCTTCTATGCGAAGACATTAAATGCATATCATGATGACATTTTCTCACATCTAATTCAGCCTATTTTGCGCCTTCTATCCATACAGTGGCGAACCCAGAACAATATTTTACATGGATCAAAATTTATTTAAATATAAAAAAAAATAACGAAAAAAAATCATCTTATGAATACATTTTCTAAGTTCAAATTTTCTCATAATGTTTTATTTGTTTTCTTATTTTTAGTAGTTAAAAACATTAAAAAAAAATCTTAAATTTAATAAAATATATCAAAAAATTTTTATGAAACCCACGTTTTAACTAATAACAAATGAATAAAATCTATTTTTTATCGAATTTGCTAGGAATGAAAGATAAAATGTCAATATGATCAAATTTGGTATTTAATGAAAGATTACAATATGAATATCTTATAGAAAAAATAGGAACTATAGTTATTCGCAAAGAATACAAAAGGAATACAACATTTTTTGGGGGGAAAAACCATCTAAATAAAGAAATGGATGCCGGAAATTTTTGTATAATGGAGTCAATTAAGGATAAGTGCTATAATTAGTAAACAATTTGGTAATTTAAGATGGGTCAATTGAACTCTCTAAATTGCATGTGGGTCCACCCCTGCGTACTCGTGATCTCTTTTTCTAACGATTTATCACTTACATAAGTTTATGATATTTTATGTACTTCAACATTTTATTAACCAACGATTCTGGTAGTTAAAATATTTATGAGATAGATGAATCATTATACAAAAATTATATTAAAAAATTAAAAAACAACTCAGACTTAAGTATAACTAATTCCCTTAAAAAAAATGCTTTTTGGGTTGCTCATAGCTATGCATAGTATGCCTATCCATAGGGATGTTGTCGTGGGTAAATGAGCCCAGCCCAACCCATCCATTCCATTGTCCATTGAATGGTTTACGGACCGAACATGATCAAGGTAGTGGCATTGGATAAATCTTGTTGGTTAAATACGAAATGATCTCATTAGATTTATAGGGTAAAAAAGATGTTTATCATCTCTTGATACTGAACTAGAAACACTTTTATGAGCAACTCAATGTTTAGTTGAAAAAGTTTTGATTTTAATATTAATGGAATGAGATTGTTCAGACTTATGCCGAATGATTGGCTATCAAGCGGATTGGCCTGATTTAGAATTGGAATTTTTTTCCTGATTTTAAGAGATCTTTCTAGTTTATCATTATGTTTAATTTTTCAGTGTACTTCTAATGTATGGACTGATTTCCTTGCCAAAGGAACACACGAACTTTCCATTTTTCTAGAGCGGCCCCATTTTGAGGTGAGCATTTTACCATTGTAATCTAATATAATCATCATAAATATTAATTATTGACATTTTTGTTGTTCAAACTCGATTGTAAAAATAATAAATGTACCAAGTAGATCACTAAAATGGGTGTTGATTTATCACTTACAGAAGTTTAACAAGTTAATATGTATAGATTTTAGGGCCCTCAAATAGTACAAAAATAAACTACATATAGATCATGAGGCTCCAAAACCGTAATTGTTTGTGGCTCTATAAATCTCAGGGCCGACCCTGGATGGAAAAAGTTTTTATGAAAATATGTAAAAGCGGCCCATTTATTTATTTTTGTTGCGGCCTTCTAAAACTCGGGGTTTAATCGTAATTATCTTGACCTAGTGTCATTAATATCCTCCATATATATATATATACATATAACAGTTTGTGTAAGAAATCATACAATTTAGATTTGTATCGTAGCTTTCGAAAACCTAAACTCTCATCTCTTTTTTTCCCCTTCTCTAGCGCCAACTTTTCTTTTGTCTTCTCTGATGGCCCCCTATCAGCGAAACAATCACCACTGCTTTATTACGGTATATCTCTAAGAGGTACGTACCCCTATCATGTGATGAACTGGTAGTGATTGGATCTTCCATTATCACAGATTTTTGTTGTGTCATTTGCAGATCTAGAATTGGGATGCTCTTGTGATTGCCAAATCTGAAGAGGGCTTGGGGCCTACGTTTTCTCTCAGATAGTAGACATAACAATTGAACCAAAATTTAGTGAAGATCTTATTTATGATTACTTAGATATGATTCGAGAATTTGATCTCTTTTCCCTTGGTTTTCTTTTTCATGAGGATTGGGAGGGCTTAAAAGAGATAAACAGTGATTTCGAGGCTATGAAAGACACCAAAAATTAAAGAAAAGGCTTCTCTTTTCTTTCGTTGGGGAGAGAGAAAATATTATGCTGAAATCAAGGTAGAGAGATTGTGTTGTTTGATATAGTTTTGGATGATGTTATGGGTTGACAACATTTAACAGAAAGTTTTTTGCTGAGATCAAAGTATCTCTATATGCTTGAAGATTTTGGACAACACACTATTTTGTAGAAAACATCGGATGGAAAGAAATGACGAGACGCGCACCACCAAGGAGTTTCACCTACTTATTTGAGGACTCTGCATCTTTGATGTTTGCTTTAGATGAAATATGGATTTTTGACTGAATAGACTTTCACTAGTAAGTATTTATGATTAAGCAATTAAAAAATCAATTAAAATCTGATCTTTTGTGTTGGTTGAAAATGCTTTTGGTGATGCTTAAGAACTTTAATTTTTCTTTTTGATATCAAAAAGAAAATACTTTGAAAATAAAATATTTTCCTTCGATTGATATGTTATTTTATCTAGAAATTGCAATTGAAAGTTATTGATAATATTGGTAAACATTAGTAGTTTTTCAATTGTATTCTTGTGCGTGTTTGCTGATATAAAAGTTTTTCATGTCTTGTCATATTCAGAGTTTGACACATTGTAGATCAACATATATTGCATAGCTAGATATATATGTTTTCAATTAATAGAGACTCTGATTTGCTTAGGCTATAAGGAGTTAGTCGTTATGACTCATTGAATATATATATTTCTATATGCAGAATTATTAATTACTAATAGCATCTTCAAATGTAATAGAGTGTATGGTTTAGTTAACCATATATTTGATTCTGTAATGTAAACCGGTATACTATAAACCAGATTTGCCTCTTACTATAAAACAAAACTTTGTACGTCACTTTGACTTTAATGAGAAATACAGAGCTTCTTCTACTTTTAGACTGTAACAAACTTTTCTCTATTATGGTATCAGAGCGTTGAATCTTCAAGATTCAACCGATTCTTCTTCGTTTTTCCGCTTCAATCTATGATGATTCTCATTGTTTGATCTTCTTCTCGATAGATTCGTCTGGTTTATGTAACGGAATCATAAATATCGATCGACTTTTCTTTGTTTTCCGGTTGTTTTCGCCGTAAAACTTCTTTTCTGATGGCTGTAACTCGTAAAACTAATCGTCGCACGGTTCGCGTAGCTTCGTCAGCTCGCAGATCGGTTAATCGCGGAGATAATTCATCTGAGAGTTCACCGGAAGATCCTCCTCCGATTCCTCCTCCAGTTCCTGTTTTCATAGCTCCGATTGAGAATTTGGATAGCATTCATTCACCGTATCATCTCTCTAATAGTGATAATCCTGGTATTTCTATAATTTCTGAGTTCTTGATGGAACAAATTATGATGATTGGCAAATAGCGATGAAAACTTCGTTAGATGCGAAAAACAAATTAGCGTTCATTGATGGATCTATATCTAGACCTAGTGCAACAGCTACTATATTCAGGATTTGGTCATGTTGCAATATAGTATGGTGAAATGTTGGCTATTGAATTCAGTATCGAAACAGATTTACAAAAGCATTCTTCGTTTTGATGATGCATCTGAGATTTGGAAGGATCTATCCACTCGATTTCATATCACAAATCTTCCACGATCATACCAATTGTCTCAGCAGATTTGGTCATTACAGCAAGGCTCAATGGATCTTGCTACTTACTATACCACTCTGAAGACTTTGTGGAATGAGTTAGATGGTGCTAATTGGGTTACAGTTTGTCGAAATTGTGATTGCTGCAAGACTATGGAGAAAAAGTCAGAACACACTCGTGTTATTAAGTTTATGGCTGGTTTAAATGAATCTTATGCAGTCATTAGAAGTCAGATCATCATGAAAAAGCATGTTCCTGAACATGCTGAGATATACAACTTGTTGGATCAAGATTTGAGTCAGAGAACCATTGCTCCTATTCAAAATGCAGTGACATTTAATGTTTCAGCGGGAGAACCAACTCAGATCTCTGTTAATGCTACTTATAATCACTCAAGAACACAACAGAAGGTGATTTATTCTCATTGTGGATATACTGGTCATACTGTTGATAAATGTTACAAGATCCATGGGTACCCCATTGGTTTCAAGCATAAAAACAAGTCTACTCAGCAGGATAAGCGGTCTGTTGCTCCTATCAAACCTGTTGTTTCTCAACTTGCTTTGACAAGTTCTACTTCGAGTGATTTGCTTGCGGGAATGGCAAAAAATCGGACTAAGGATCAAATTCAAGGTGTTCTTGCTTACTTTTCTGCACAACTCAGTGATGATATGGCTTCACCTTCTACTGGTGCTTCTTCTTCTGGTGCCACTATCAATGCATTACCTGGTATGGCTTTCTCTTCCTCCACTTTACATTTTGTTGGAGCATTGAGAGCAACAGGGAATGTTTTATGTTCTGAATCATGGATAATAGATAGTGGTGCTACACACCATGTGTCTCATGATAAAAAGTTGTTTCGGATTTTATCTGAAACATTGAATGATTCAGTCACTTTACCTACTGGTTTTGGAGTGAAAATCACAGGAATAGGTACAGTGGAACTAAGTGATCACATGATATTGCAGAATGTGTTATATATTCCAGACTTTCGGTTAAATTTGCTGAGTGTGAGTCAGTTAACTAGAGATTTGGGATATAGAGTAAGTTTTGATGATGGTGGTTGCTTGATACAGGATCATATCAAGGGGTTGATGATTGGTAAAGGTGATCAAATCTCCAATCTCTATGTTCTGGATACACATTCTCTCATGAAGGATTCAGCTCAACCTCTTGCTTTTTCTGCAACTATTGTTGATTCTAGTTTATGGCATAATAGACTAGGTCATCCATCTATGATTAGAACAGATATTGTTACAGATGTACTTGGTTTTAAACAAAGGAATAAAGATAATTTTCATTGTGCTATTTGTCCCTTGGCCAAACAAAAGAAATTATCATTTCCATCCAAGAATAACATTTGTGACTCTGCTTTTGATCTATTACACATTGATATATGGGGTCCGTTTTCTACTCCTACAACAGAAGGATACAAATACTTTCTAACCATTGTTGATGACCATACTCGAGTAACATGGTTGTATTTGTTGAAAGCAAAGTCTGAAGTATTGCAGATTTTTCCGGACTTCTTAAAAATGGTGGAAACACAGTACAAGACTACAGTAAAAGCAGTTCGTTCTGACAATGCACCTGAGCTCAAGTTTGTTGATTTGTATAAGAACAAGGGCATCATGGCTTACCATTCATGTCCAGAAACTCCGGAGCAAAACTCTGTTGTTGAACGAAAACATCAACATATTTTGAATGTTGCTAGGTCCTTAATGTTTCAGTCAAGAGTTCCTGAAGAGTATTGGGGAGATTGTGTTCTCACCGCAGTCTTTCTTATCAACAGGCTCTCTACACCATTACTGCAGAATAAATCACCTCATGAAGTTCTCACCTTCAAGAAACCAGACTATGCACCCTTAAGAGTCTTTGGTTGTTTATGCTACAGTTTAACTTCCTCTAAGAACAGGAATAAGTTTCAACCCAGGGAAGGCTTGTATCTTTCCTGGATATCCAAGTGGTTACAAGGGATACAAATTATTGGATCTGGAAACAAATCAGGTACACATCTCAAGGAACGTTGTGTTTCATGAATCTATCTTTCCCTTCAGTTCAGGTGATTCTACTGGTCCTTTTTCTGAAATTTTTGGCAGCATCAATAATTCTGTTGATGAGAATTCTCCTGAAAACGTTTACAGTAACATTCCTGCAGTTGTGAGTGAAACTTCTTCTTTAAGTGAATCTCCTGCAGTTGTGAATGACTCTGTAAATGTTGATTCTCCTATAGTTTCAGCTCCACCACCTGTTTCAGCTAAAAGGCCAGTTAAGCAACCTGCTCACTTGAAGGATTATTACTGTAATCTGACAGGAAAAGGAGTTCAATATCCTTTGTCTAATTACATGTCTTATGATCAGCTGTCAACCCCATATCGAGCCTATATATGTTCAGTCACAAAATATTCAGAACCGAGCTCTTTCTCTCAAGCTAAGAAGTCAAATGATTGGCTTCAAGCTATGAATGCAGAGTTAACGGCTTTAGAAGGCACTGCTACATGGGAGATTTGTTCATTGCCTTCAGATAAGCAGGCTATAGGCTGTAAATGGGTATATAAGGTGAAACTCAATGCTGATGGAAGCTTAGAGCGATATAAAGCTCGTCTCGTAGCTAAAGGCTACACGCAACAAGAAGGAGTAGATTTTGCAGACACATTTTCACCAGTGGCTAAGATGACAACAGTCAAGACCTTACTTGCTGTTGCAGCTGCTAAGAAATGGAGTCTTCATCAGTTAGATATCTCCAATGTGTTCTTAAATGGTGATCTCAATGAAGAGATTTATATGACCTTGCCACCAGGTTACACACCAAAGGACGGAGAAGTTATTCCTCCCAATGCAGTTTGCAAATTAAAGAAGTCCCTTTATGGCTTAAAACAAGCCTCTAGACAGTGGTTCTTGAAGTTTAGATCCACGTTAATGTCTCTGGGGTTCCAACAATCTCATGCTGATCATACCCTATTCGTTAAGAATGTTAATGGGAAGTATCTTGCTGTTCTTGTCTATGTAGATGACATAGTAATAGATAGTAACAATGATGAGGATGTGATTCAATTGAAAGGAGATTTGAAGAAAGCTTTTAAGCTTCGATATTTGGGGTCTTTGCAATATTCTTAGGATTGGAAATCGCAAGATCAGCCTCAGGTATATCTGTTTCACAGAGGAAGTATGCCTTAGATGTGCTAGAAGAAGCTGGAATGTTGGCTTGTAAGCCTTCTAACATTCCTATGGAACCAAGTATTAAACTGGTGGGTGATGGTCCAGAACCAGTCATTGATGATCCTGCCTCCTATAGACGACTTGTTGGGAAACTGATGTATCTTACAATAACTCGTCCTGATATCACTTTTGTTGTGAATAAATTGTGTCAATATACATCAGCTCCTAAGGCGACACACATGAAGGCAGCTCACAAAGTGTTGGCTTACATTAAAGGCACCATTGGGAATGGTTTGTTCTATTCTTCCACTTCTGATTTTGTGCTAAAAGGATTTACAGATGCTGATTGGGCTTCCTGCAAGGATACAAGACGATCAACATCTGGCTACTGTGTGTTTTTGGGAGATTCACTCATCTCCTGGAAGTCTAAAAAGCAGCAAATGGCTTCTCATTCTTCTGCAGAATCGGAGTACAGGGCCATGCAGTATGCTGTCAGAGAAATAGTATGGTTGGTGAATCTTTTGAATGACCTCAAGGTACCTCAACTTGCACATGTGGCTTTCTTTTGTGAATCTACTACAGCTATACACATAGCCAACAACTCTGTTTTTCACGAGAGAACAAAACACGTGGAGCTGGACTGTCACATTGTCAGAGACAGAATTTTGAGTGGCTTGATCAAAACTCTACATGTCAAGATAGATTTACAGCTTGCAGATGCGTTTACTAAGCCACTGTATCCAGCACAGTTCAAAGCTCTCATTGGCAAGATGTCATTGAAGTCTATCTATATGCCATCTTGAGGGGGCATAATAGAGTGTATGGTTTAGTTAACCATATTTTTGATTCTGTAATGTAAACCGGTATACTATAAACCGGATTTGCCTCTTACTATAAAACAAAACTTTGTACGTCACTTTGACTTTAAAGTCAAAGTGACGTACAAAGTTTTGTTTTGGATATTTCAAAATTAAAATATTAATACTTTAATATTTTAATTTAAAACATTTAAGAAACCAATAAAAAAGTATAAATGTCAAGAAAACTGATTCTCATATGGTTAATGTTTTTGAAAATGTTACAAAAATTAGTCAACTTATATAAAGACATTATTTGTCTTTTGACAAATAGGGAAAAAACCCGAAAAAACCGCCATCTATTTTTTTTTTGGCCGTTTAATACCTGTGTTTTTAAATTTGGAATAAAAATACCTCATTTAGTTTCGATTGCCTTTTAAAACTATCGTTTTTTAAAACTTGGTAATTTCGAACCCGACACTTAACAGTCGTTACTGGGCGTAACGGAATTATTTAACGGCGTTAAATTTTAACCGGCAAAAAACCCGAAAAAACCGCCATCTATTTGTTTTGGCCGTTTAATACCTGTGTTTTTAAATTTGGAATAAAAATACCTCATTTAATTTCGATTGTCTTTTAAAACTATCGTTTTTAAAAACTTGGTAATTTCGAACCCGAAACTTAACAGTCGTCACTGGACGTAACACAATTATTTAACCGCGTTAAATTTTAACCCCACGAGTTTATATAAATATATACTATCTGTTTGCATATAAATATATACTATCTGTTTGCATGTTAGTTTTGTAAACCTTAGAAGCTGGGTTTGACTCTTCAAGACTTCAACCTCATTTTTTTTTTTATTAATTTCTTTTTGTGTTCTTCGTCTTCTTCGCCGGTGGTGACGACGACTTCTTCTTCTCAGATCTCCGATGATGCAAACTAGTCTCTCTCTCTTTCTCTTCTTCACTCGAATCTCTTTTTAGATAATGGATTTTTGCCGAGATCCATCCCATTTATGTATAGATCTGATCTGATTGATGTCGATTTAGTTGCTGTTCTTTTTCAATGGTAGATCTAATTGCAGAATCGATTTGTTGAAATCGCTCTATGATTCATCTTTTGTTTGCATTTCGAGTCTTAACTTTGTACTGATGGGAAGTTATTCGAAGTGGAGAACAAAGAGAAAAAAAACATGTTTAAGATTCAAACCCGGATCTGGTGGTTTAAAAAAAGACACACGCTACCACTAAACCACATTGACATTCTCGTAATGTGTTGTGAGCAGTTTGTATATATTTATATAAACATGTGGGGTTAAAATTTAACGCTGTAAAATAATTCTGTTACGCCCAATAACGACTGTTAAGTCTCGGATTTGAAATTACCAAGTTTTAAAAAACAATAGTTTTAAAAGGCAATCGAAATTAAATGAGGTATTTTTATTCCAAATTTTAAAACACAGGTATTAAACGGCAAAAAAAAAAATAGATGGCGGTTTTTCTTGGTTTTTTCCCGGTTAAAATTTAACGCCGTTAAATAATTCCGTTACGCCCAGTAACGACTGTTAAGTCTCGGGTTCGAAATTACCAAGTTTTAAAAAATGATAGTTTTAAAAGGCAATCGAAATTAAATGAGGTATTTTTATTCCAAATTTAAAAACACAGGTATTAAACGGCCAAAAAAAAAATAGATAGCGGTTTTTTTAGGTTTTTTCCCTTGACAAATATAATAACTTACATATTATTGAAAATTTAATTTTTGGAAAAAACAAACGGGTTCAACTAGATTTTCAGGATTGTTTGAGTGAGTTTCATCTTCTTTTGTTTAGGATTCTGCCATTTCTTATATTCTCTTGAGATTCCACATAAAAGAAATAACCAGCGACTTGAACTTCTTATGATTTTGAGCGTGTATGCTCAATAGCCTATAAATACGATAGTCGATTAGTTCAAGCGACTTGAGGTGGATGTATTTGCTGAAAATTGCATCTATCATCTCTTTCAATCACTTTGGTCCGCATAAGCTAGTGTCCTCAAGAACATTAGGTCTTTGGAAGCATTATTTGGTAGTTCAAATTTACACCATCGATGGCCACGGTTTAGCCATGGACATTCGTGGCTAATTTCATTCCAGCCACGAATTAGTCACTTAACAATAACGTGACAATTTTCGTGGCATTTTAGTGGTTTTTCGTGGCTAATATTTGCCACGGATTTTATCTGTAACAAATTCGTGGCTAAATATAGCTACGAAATTATTCCATAGCTAAATCGTGGCTATTTGCTACGAAAAAGCCACAAAAGTTTCGTGATTATTTTATTTTCGAATTTATTTTATTATATAGCCACGAATTTGTCACTAATTTATCCGTGGCTAGACGAAAACCTTAATCTTAAAGACAAACTCTAAATTTATAAACTCTAAACAAAAATCTAATTACCAATGTATACCCTAATTAAAATTAAGATCCAACACTTTTATAAAATTCTTATTTTTAAATCAAACATTTCAAATCTATACCCCAAACCCTCAATTTAACTCCAAATCCTAAAATCTAAACTTTAATTAAAATTTTCATTATAGAAATTAAACCATAAACTCTAAAAAACAAAATCTAATTAATATACCCAACAACTAAGACATTTTGTCTACCATTTATATTTAATATACCAAATACTACTGCAAATTGCAAAATTAATAAACCAAATAATAATGACTTCTTTTGGTTAGTTCATAAACTATATCCAACGGACACAAAGTTTCTCAATTGTTTTTCTTCTCCTTTTCTCATCTTCGTCACCTTCCACCTTCCACCTCTCATTTCAGCTTTCACAGGGGGAGACTTGGAGAGTGAGAAAGAAAGAGATTGCAGGTGAGTGTGTGAATCAATGAGTAGAGCTGGTGAAGTGGGCCTCTCTCTGATTCTTTTCCTCTCCTTTTCTCATCTTCGTCACCTTCCACCTTCCACCTCTTCTCCTCATCCAAGAGAGCACACCTCCTCCGCCAACCCCCAAAACTATAACATAGAAGGCTAAGCCACAACTACGACGTCGTTCACCACCACCACCACCACCATTGACAAAGTTCAACGGATCGGCGCCGTGACATCAGCCATGGATTTCAACGCAACGACGCGTCGACGCCGTCACATCAGCCATGGAGTCTGATCCAAGTTCCGATTGCTGTAATGTTTTTAACGGGCAACAATGAGAGCTCCTAGATCCGACGCCACGAGACCACCGAAGATGCTTGACGGAAGAAGACATCTCGTGAAACATTTTTTAATTTTTTTTTGTTAAAATCATTGTGTTTTATAAATTAATTAATTTTACATTTTAATTTATAAATAATAATCTTTTTTGTTTCCGTTTTTTTTTTATTAAAATTATATGAAAAAGTCACGAATTAGTCAGGATTACTTTCGTGGCTGTAGACTTGTATAGCCACGAATATATAAGTGGCTATCCGTGAGAAATCAGCTACGAAATACGCGTGACTAGATCGTGGCTACATAGCTACGAAAAGCTACGAAATAAAAAAGCCACGATGCTATAGCCACGTTTTTTATTTCCTGGCCATTAGTGGCTGTTTTAGCATATAGCCACGAATTTTGTACCACAACCACTAAAATTGTTGTGGCTATACATGTTTTTTTTACTAGTTTCGTTGATTAAGACTGTTAGCGTTTCCATAGCCGAGAAATCGATCAAGATCTCCATAACATTCTTGAATTTGGAGAAATCTAACTCTAGCTCTTGGATGTTTTTACCAATGCACGTATTGATCCATGAGATGATTTTATCTTCTACCCCAAGATGATTGATAACAAAACAAATTTGACTCCACCGATTCTTTTTGTTTCTTGGGGTACAAGTTATAACGATCTTGTGGATCAATACATGTATTGGTTAGAACATCCAAGAGCTATAGTTAGATTTCTCAAATTCCAAGAAAGTTATGGAGATCCCGATCAATTTCTCGGCGATGGAGACTCTACAAGTCTTAAAGCTGCCATCGTGTAAATTTTAAAATAACAAATAATTCTAAAAAAAATCTAAAGCCCTTGAATACACTCTATCTTATGCGGACCGAGGTGACGAAAGATTTGATCGATGCAATTTTCAGCAACTGCATTCACGTGAATCACTTGAACTAATCGAATGATGTATATGTACAGACTATTAAGCATACACGCTCAGAATCACAAGAAGTTTAAGTAGATGGTCTCGTCTTCTATGCGGCTCTTGAGTAGATTTTGTCTTATGCGAATTGAGGTGGCGAAAAAGACGATATATGCAATTTTCAGCAACTGCATCCACAAAGAGTCACTTGAACAAATAAAATGATGTATGAACATGCTACTAAGCATACATGATTATAATCATAAGAAGTTTAAGTCGCTGGTCTTGTCTTCTATGCGTAATCTCCTATACATCATTTTGGACGTACCCACTTTACAAAACAACAAGTATGATCATATATGTGGTAAAAGTTAGAGAACTTCACATTGATATTTTCTTTAAACATCAGATAGTTTGCACTTTTTTGACATCGCTGAACTCCTCAAAGATTTTCCTAAACTTGAAGCGATGTACGTCTCTCTCTATCTATCTATATATCTATATATATATATATATATCTATCTACCTACGTTTGTTAAAACTTTTTGTTTGTTATGTGCAGATTCTAAATTTCACATTTGCACCTCGATTGGATTTGGGAGAGTCATCATAAGGAGGAAATTAAGAACAATAGTTACCTTTTGAAGTTTCTCAATGAAGTCAAAATCATTGGCTATAAAGGCTATAGGCATGAGCTTGATATAGTAGAGTTCTTTGTGAAGAATACACCATCTCTTGTGAAGTTGGAATTGGCTATCCCCAAAAAGCAAAAACCAAAGCTCATGCAACGATAAATTTCTTAAAAACCATATTTCCTGGAGTTAAACTTACAGAAGTTTAAGTTCATGTTGTTCCCAAGCATGCCAAACTATATTTTGATGTTTTGAAACATAAAAACATATTTTATGTTTTTTCTTTTTTCTATGAGCTTCTCTCAGATTTGAATTCCCTTGTTTTTGTCTTTGTTTATTTTAAAATTTGAACTCCTTTTCTAATTTTTTTATATGAAATGTGAAATTTATTAATAAAAAAAAAATGTACTAAACCAAGTACTAGACAAAGGGGCAGGTAAAAGTAGAGCTGCTGAAATAAAAGTGACATAGCCTAAAATTAAGGCCTACATTGTAAGTTCCATTTTCGCTGCAGCTCCTCACGAACGTTGTCTAATGAAAATATGTGGGTGGAGATCACTCTGTTAATGGCGAATATAAGGTTGTTAGCCGGAGTATATATAGTCATATTGGTGCGTCTCGCGCAGGCCCGATTCAAATGGGGTGGGCATAAGGGCACTAGCCTAGGAGACAATAGATTTTTGTAAAAATTGTAAATTGGCATGAACTTTCTAATAAATGGGTCCAAAATTTTTAACTCTATAATCTTTTACATAAAGAGGCCTGTATATTTTTAAAAATTTTAAAATAAGACAAAATTTATTTACAAAATATTCCTGATTTTAACCAAAAATTTGAAAAAATCTAAAAAAAATTAAGTAAGAAAAAATCCAAAACAATATTTTTTGCCTAAGAGTCCAAATATATGTTGGGCCGGGGCTGGTGTCTCGCATTTCTTTCAAGCCATAGGTGGCAAATCGTAGTTTGGAAAATCAAACGTAGGAGAATAAAAGTCCATGGAGTGGAACCAAGGCCAGTCCAGACCTAAAGCAGCAAGCTGGTGCATTAGGCAACAAAATATATTTTAGATTTAAGGGGCATTAATTTTGTGTAAAGGTCTTGTAGTCAAGTGGTTGGGGTCTCATGTATTGGTATTAGTTGACGGGTTTGAGCCTTGCTCTGCCAAAAATTTTAACAACTTTTATATTCTAGTTTGTAAAAGGGCAAGCAAAATATTTATTGGATTTTAGGCATCAAAAATCTTTGGGCGGACCTGAGTAAAACTTATTAGTCATTATTTAAAGAAAAAAAATCAAACCATCACCTATATAAAAAAACAAAAAACAAAAACATTATTTATATGTTTTACTTTGTATCTACTTAGCCAATCAAGCCATCATTCACTTCTGTGATTTTTTGTGTTTTTTTAATTTGTGTTTTTTTTTTTTTGGTCAAATTCAATTTAAAACCGATGCAAATGAGTTGCTATAATTCCACCAATTTCCAACCAAACACATTACTGAAAATGAACAAAAAATTCATCTAGTAGTTGTTAATATCTGACGCTTTTGTGACTACACACACTTAGTCTTAAGTAAGTCACAAAGTATTAAGACTATTATGCGACTATATTGTAACTATAGTACTGACTAATTCGGGACTACATTATGAGATTTTCATCGTTCATGCTGACTTGATAAGTCCCATATTAGTCTTCAAAGAGTCGCAACTATATGACTACTAAACCGTGAAAAGTTAGTCTCTATTATTGAACCATAAAACAAAATCTCTAAATAGTCGTTAAATAAACATAGTCACTATTTGATTTGGCTCTTTAACTATGACCTTTAATTTGGGTCTTAACATCGTCTCTTATATACTGTTAAATATACTTTTACCATGAACCCCAAGATCTTAAACATTTATACTAATCACATAATAGAATCATAAAGAGGGTTCAAGAAATACCTCCACTCATTGTAGAAATGATGCTTACTTGAATGGTTTCTTGAAAGTAAACCTTCCTTGATCAATGGTTTGTAGACTTGAAAACAAAACTCTTAATCTTTAGGTAGGAGATAAAGTTTCTCTCCCCTTGCCTATAAGTATTTTTTGTTGGATTAAGCTTGACTTAAAGCCCAAGTTAAAGTCGGTTTATGAGAGGGTTTTTGGATAAAATTGTATTAGGTCTAGGAGTTATCTAGTTGCTAATCTAAGTCGGTTTATGAGCCTTTTAAAACCCTATATATATGTTTATTGAGCTTGTGATAAACATATGAGTTGTGTGAGAATTTGAGAGATAGAACTTTTAGGTTTTGAGATATTTTCCTAAGTAATAAAGAGAGTAATTCTTTGTTAAAGTTCTTGTTCTTATTCTTGATTTGGTATCAGAGCTATAAGGATTACTCGATCCTTAAGAAGACGTGAAGATCATTAGGTACAGCCAAGCCATGGCTGATGATGATGCTCTCGCCGTGGATAACATCACAGGGAAGGATCACATACCTTCTACCATAAAGTGCCCGATGCTAACCTCCACAAACTACACCGTATGGGCCATGAAGATGAGGATCGCCCTCCGTGTACACAAGGTATGGGAAGTTGTTGAGACTAATATTGTTAATAATGATAAGAACGATATAGCCATGGCCTTACTCTTCCAGTCAATACCTGAGGCCCTTGTACTACAAATTGGAGAGTTAGATAATGCAAAGAAAGTATGGGAAGCAATTAAAGCAAAGCATGTTGGAGCAGAAAGAGTAAAAGAAGCAAGATTACAAACCTTGATGGCAGAATTTGATCGGCTCAAGATGAAAGACTCAGAAACTGTAGATGGATTCTCTGAAAAAATATCTGAAATAGCCTCAAAAGCAGCTTCACTAGGAGAGATCATTGAACCAACCAAACTTGTGAAAAAGTTTCTTAAGAGCTTACCACGAAAAAAATATATCCACATAGTAGCATCTCTTGAACAGATTTTAGACCTCAAAGCCATAAGCTTCGAGGATATAGTTGGACGGATTAAAACCTATGAAGACCGTGTGAATGATGAAGAAGAAATTGAAGAAGATCAAAGTAAACTGATGTACACAAGCACAGAAACAAGTTATCAAGGCGATTATAGAAACAGAGGACGAGGTGGCAGAGGTTTCTATAGAGGAAGAGGTCGAGGCCGATCTGGTGGAAGAGATCTTTCACATATAACTTGTTTCCGTTGTGACAAGAATGGGCACTTTGCATCACAATGTCCGGATAGATTGTTAAAATTACAAGAAGCACAAGAAACAGAAACAAAAGACACACAAAATGCAGATGAGCTTATGATGAATGAAGTAGTCTACTTAAATGAGAAAAACTGTGTGCCTAGTAACTTTGAGACAAATACCAATGGAGAAGAATGTTGGTATCTTGATAATGGTGCTAGTAACCATATGACTGGAGACAAAAGATACTTTGATAAACTTGATGAAACCATAACAGGAAAGGTTCGGTTTGGAGATGATTCCCGTATTAACATTAAAGGAAAAGGAACAATAGCATTTACAGATACAAATGGGAACTCAAGAATAATGACTGATGTTTACTTTATACCTGATTTAAAAAGCAACATCATAAGCCTAGGACAAGCTACTGAATCTGGCTATGATATAAGACTTAAAGGAGAGTATCTAACAATGCTTGATTCTGATGGAAAGTTACTAGTCAAGGCAGAAAGATCCAAGAACAGACTATACAAGGTCCAGATGGGATTAAGAAAAGAAGCAAACTTGTATTTGACAACAGTAAGTGATTCAAGCAGACTGCATGCAAGAATGGGACACATAAACTTTGCAAGTTTAAAAAACATGGTTGACAAGAAGCTTATCTTAGGTGCTCCTGTTATTAAGGTTGAAAAGGAAGTTTGCAGCTCTTGTTTACTTGGCAAACAAACCAGACAAAGCTTCCCACAAGAAACAACCTATAGAGCTACCAAGAAACTTGAGCTGATCCATGGTGATCTTTGTGGACCAATATCACCAAGCACAAGTGCTGGAAACAGGTACATCTTTGTACTTATTGACGATTTCTCTCGCTATATGTGGACCATACTACTAAAAGAAAAAGGAGATGCATTCAAAAGGTTTCAGAATTTCAAAGCTTTAGTTGAAAAAGAATCAGGATCAAGAATACAAACTTTTAGAACGGATAGAGGAGGAGAGTTTACATCATCTGAGTTTAACACCTTTTGTGAAGAATCAGGGATAAAAAGACATCTTACTGCTCCATACACTCCTCAACAGAATGGAGTTGTGGAGAGACGCAACAGAACTCTAATGGAAATGGCAAGAAGTATTCTGAAGCATATGAAATTACCAAACTACTTGTGGGGAGAGGCCATCAGACATTCTACCTACATATTAAATAGAGTCTCTACACGGACTCTTAAAGATAAAACTCCGTATGAATGTTTTCGAGAAAAAAGGCCAACAGTTGAGCACATTAGAGTATTTGGCTGCATTGCATATGCAAAAATAAACAAGCCACATTTGAAAAAACTTGATGACAGATCTAGGATGCTTGTTCACTTAGGTATAGAACCAGGGTCAAAAGCATATCGCTTGTTTGATCCGCAAGTGCAGAAGGTAGTAGTAAGCCGAGATGTCATGTTTGATGAAACAAAAGGATGGAACTGGGAACATAAAAACATAACAAAAGATGGGGATGGAAGTTTTAATATCACATTTGATACCTATGGGAACAATGGTCTCCGAGAGAATGGAGAAACCATTGAAACAGAGCAAGCAGGAACAGAACATGGACTGCAAAATCATGATCCGATTGATAATGAGGTAAGTGAAAGTGATACTGAAACAGAGGATAGAGCTGAGTCAATGAGGAAGAAGAAAGTGAGAATGTGGATCCTAGCTATGTCTCACCACCAGTCTTAAGAAGAACAGAGAGACAAATCATAAAACCAAAATATCTTGAAGATTATGTGTTAATGGCTGAGGAAGAAGGAGAAGTGTTGCTTTTATGTCTAAATGATGAACCAAGAAGTTTCCATGAAGCCAAAGAAATAAAAGAATGGATAAAAGCATGTGAAGATGAGATAAGTTCTATAGAAAAACTAAAGACATGGAATCTTGTGGACTTACCATTAGGTGCTTCACCAATTGGCCTAAAATGGGTTTTTAAGCTCAAGAGGAATTCAGATGGAAGCATAAATAAGCATAAAGCCAGACTTATTGCAAAAGGATATGTACAACAATATGGAGTAGATTTTGAGGAAGTCTTTGCACCAGTTGCACGAATAGAAACCATTAGAC